CTACTCTAGCTGCGATATAAAGCTTCCTCGGTATCCCCGGCTCACATGCGTAGAACACCCTAGCACTGATCCATAAAAATAGCTGTAAATAATCTTTCTCCCCACATCATTCATTCATTACGCGTACCGGGTCGCTAGTCGGTACCGAGCTAGATCGAGGGCGCTGGGAAATCCTTTGCTAGATACCGCGGTACCATTCGGTAATAACTATGTAGAAGTTTAGACGGCCGGAGCACCCCCGGACTCGGGATTCGAGATTGATAGTTAATTGGTGTTATAGTATAGAGCGGGTGATCTGCATGATATAGATTCACTGACTGGAAGGATTCCGCCAAGAAGCTTTAAGGGTTCTATTCAAATGAATGGCTCTGTGTTCATAGCGTATCACTCGCCTACTGTACTACGTAGCGTAAGAGCAGACTCTGGTGTTTCACATTTGAGTATAAGAAACCCAAGACCCAACTCCCGATCCATCCCATTGTAACCACCGACCGGCCGGCACATCACCACCATCGTTCTAGAGTGCTTCCTATAGCTACCCTCTATCGCCCATCGCAACCCCAAACCAGGGGGGGCTGGATAATTAGGTAAATTATCGGCGACCTGTTGTATATTGTGATGCGGCGCATGAGTACACATATCCTGTCCAGGTCCAAAATCTGTGTCCCAGCTAGCTCCGCCCCGCGATTCATTTTTTCCTAGCGGAATATGGGGTCCGGGCGGGGAGGGAGGGAGGCCAAGACCCGATGTCAAAGATGTCAGACTTCAGGCAGGAACCTTAGCCGGGGAATGGATTGCGTAAGGTCCACGGGTCGGCCGGCCGGGGGTTGCCGTGCGTGTTGGCATGTGAATCTAGACAAGACATGCAGGTGCACACCTAGGTCAGGTACCGTACCTACACTGGCAGAGGGTAGAGCTCGGTTCGATGCAGCTTTTGCCGACCGATGCTCTTGCGTGTGGTGTGCATGCATGCATGCAGGTATGGTTTATTAAGGGAGGGATCCGGGGTTGAAATGGGGGCCGGCACGTTGGGCACCCACCCGACTGGCGCTATCCGAGCGGGGCGAGTGATGTGCTGTGAGGCTGGAGGGTCGATCGTGGAGTACGTACGTATGCGTGTACGTGTAGGTAAGTCAAAGTATGTAACAAAGACTTGTAACAACGGGAAAGGAAGGGAAGGGAAGGGAAGGAACGGGTTGTAAAAGAGTGAGTGAGCGAAAAGGGGACAAGCCTTTCGCGAGGGTCGCCAAGTGCGATGCGTGCTGGCATGTTTAGACTCTTACCGCTGCTTCTCGATGTCGCTAGTGCCGAGGTAGAAACTGGGGCCATATACAGTGCTTTTTCTTTTTGAATTTGTGTAATAGGTGTTTTGATTATGGGGAGGTGTCTGGCCTCGGTCGTCAGGCATACGCTGTTCTGAGCAGTTCTCTCTGATGCTCCAACATACAGTAGGCATGAAAGGCAGAATTGACTTCCAAAGTACACCTGTGAGGAGAGGAATTTGGTCACCCACTCCATGCGTTTCGACATGCTAACCACTACAGTACCGAGGGCTGCCCTAGTGCTTGCCTATGCTCCGCACTTTTATTTGTTGATGTCGACAACCCAGGATCTCTTCACAGCTCTGTCGCCTACGTGCTGCGTTTCGGCGTGTTAACCGTTACACCGCTGATTATGGTATATAGACGTGAGATATATATCGAATCTCAAACTCATCTTGGAAATAATAGCTAGCTGCACATATAGTATAGACACAGCCCGGCCGCCGTCCAAAGTCAAACAAGGGCCACACATATATCTACCGCTGTCGTAGAAAGCCTCGTTATACAGTCTACCTAAGGAGAAGATAAAGGAGGTGGGGACATAAGGCGGGGGAGCATACTGCGTGCGTAGATGCTCAAAGGTCCACGCAGTAAAAAGACACTCAACCTCCTGTCAAAGAGGTTAAACATCACAAACTAAACCCCACAGATACACATTAAAGCATCAGTCTGTGTAGGAATCGAAGCTCAAAGAAGCTATCTAAACTCCCAAGAGCAGCGTGGATTATATTTTCTTGGCGCGCGAGTGACCTTTCATGACTACACCGGCAACTCTGCCTAGTGGGAATCCGGGCCTACCTACCTAACTCAGTGTTTAAACGGACAGTTTAGACGTACAGCATTGCTGTCACCCATCCTAATTAAATCAGACACCGAGACGGAGTGCCCTTGGCTCATAGATCTTATTTTCTTTTGCTGCGGTAATGCAGGTAGATAAGAAAGTGTGAGAAATATTAGTTGCAATAAATTAAATGTAAAGTACTTCTTATAAAGGCAGACGGAAGGTTCGTGCTCTGATCTACAATCTCTCCTTCCCTCGCCACTGGTAGTGTCTCTTCGAGTGATAACCCGTGATTGTATTCCGCCCCCCTCAGCCGGCGCGCTTGTGCAACCTAACCTAACCTGCGGAGCTGGTGCCAATTGCACCTGGAACAAACTAGTACCATTCCAAATTACTTCTCCACTGAACCCACCGTATCCCTGGAAAAAGTCCTACATATTGACATTCTGACCTACACCGCTCTTGCTCCTTGTTCCCCGCTCCTTCTCTCTCCTTATAATTTCACATATTTACCAACCGATCCAATCAACTAAAACCAGCTAGACCAAAAAAAAAAAAAAGATGTATACCCCCCTCCGAGCTAAAATGTCCAGATTGCATCTTTGGGTATTTTCAGAAACTCCATCCACGCACCAATAATAATGACACAAAAGAAAGATAAGCCATGCCTGACGGCATAGCATGGTATGGTATTTGATTTGAAAAAGAGATGTAAAAATGAATAATCCCAACTCCGCCCGCAAAGGAAGTCCACACACCCGCAAAAACCAAGTAAGTCAAGCATAGTATAACATAAAGGATAAAAAAAAAAGTAGAACAAAAAAAGCAAAGCACGCTCCAGGCGCCACAACGAAAAAGCAAAAAAATCATAAACAAAAAGAATAGAAAAAAGAAATATAGATGAAAGAATAGATAAAAGAATAGATAAAAGAATAGATAAAAGAATAGATAAAAGAATAATAGAAAAAACTTTTAAAAAGCCACACAACCACTACCTAGCATGGTTGACCAGGGCTTCGAAAAGCTCCTCGGGTATCTTTCTCACCAAACTAACTGCGACACTAATGATGGTCTTTGAGTTGAGCGGCGGAAACTGTCGGAGAAGTTTCATTGGGCTATAGCGTGGTTCAAGTTAGTACTGAGAAATACTTGTGTGAAAGAGGGGCGGGAGGAGGTACCTTTGAGCAACAAGGAGCTCGTCACGCATTAAGAGTAGCTGAGCTACAACACAGAGAATGTTGAGGTGCGCGCCATAGGCGAGAAGGAAGTCCCATAGTTTTAGCACCTCGGGGAGAGGCGGAGTACAAGCAGAGAGTGTAAGGACAGCTGTAGACCCATGTTAGAGAGACAAGACCTAGAGTTTCGCGGAGGATAGGGACCAACATGGAAATGCGTATAGCTCCGCAGTCAAGAATTTTTCTTGAAGATGCCGATATAGTTTTGGGTCTACAGTCTCTAAACACTCATCCACAAGCTACACCACACTCAAATTAGCACGCGCTATACCTTCTAGAATAACCACACAACTTACCTTCAAACCTCTATGTACGCCCTCCATTGTCGGCCTTACATACGCCGGACATTCCCTCTGTATAAAAACTGCAAAGAGCGAAAACGCTTCGACCTCACTCCTCGCCGCATACAAGAATGGCGCCGCAATTACATTCATACCCTGAACATACTGTGCCTCCACACCCGCATCTTTCATCTTCCACTGGAACGCGTTCAGCAGTCGGATCAACGATGCCTCTGATACCCGCCGGCGGAATAGAGGGTCAGTTGCGAGCGTCCGGAAGGTGTCGTTTCGGATCTTGGAGTAGCTGTTGGAGGCGCCACGCCGCACGAGGAGGACGTAGTCACTGGTACGCATGGGAGTTACGCCAAGAAGAATGGACCAGATGTAAATTCGGAGGGGAGACTAGGGGGTTTGTAAGCTCTCTGTCTCTACTATATTTGTGTATATATAATATATGTGAAAATGGGCCATGTTTATGCATACATTCCCGTCCAAATCCGCCGTAACACCCTCTGTGAGAATAAGATACCGCAACTCTACGAGTGCTTCTGCGAGCGAAGCGGGTGGGCTGCTGATCAAGCTCTCAATGGTACTATGCTGTTTTGGCTGCAGATTTGCTTGAGACTGGGCTTTCTTTGCAAAGCGCTGCGGGCCTGGCTGTGGGCCTGGCTGCTGCTTGGTGTCATAGGCGGTTTGGGAGTGTGATCGGGCACGAGTGGTTAGGGGCTGATTCGTAACATTGGAGAGCGTTCGGAGGCTGTTATGTGGGGGTGCTGTGGATACATTGGCAGCACCACTGTAGTTACTGTCCAGGACAGACGTGGAGGCGAATCTCCTCATGCGCCGGGGAGGGCCAGTAGTAGTTGAGGACATCACAATATGTCGATCTAAGGAGCGTGGTATTCTTTGTGTATGTTTTGAGGGGCAGTTCGGAGGTGATGTAGAGAGCGTCTGTTATGATTATGGGTGTATAGCGGGGGGGGGGGGGCTATATATTTATTATTATAATGAGTGTGAGTGTTGTTTGTTTCTTTCTTCCTGCTGTGCTGAGAGTGCTTGTGTTTCCTTTAAAGGTGGTAGTGAAAGTGGTTAGCTGTGGCCCTCGTTCTCCGTGTTGTTCGTTTGTGGGTTAGCAGTCTATAGTGCAAGTCTACAGAGTCGTAGTGCGGTGTGTCTGAGTGTTGTCTCGACGATCAGATCAACAAAGCCGTGGGACTAGCCAAGACAAAGGAACGGTCGGCTGTCCGTGCGTCGCCAAGCCATATTCCTTGACTGGTGGTGCCAGCCCGCGTCGACATCTTCACTTTGCTTCCCCTCCAGTGCCTCTGACGTCGTCCGCCTGTCCCTTGTTGACCTCGTCCATCACACCCGCTCACTCGTCATGTCTGCCCAACCCATCAAGACCCCCTCCTCGGCCTCTACGCCCTCTGCCGTGCCCGGCACCACCGAAAAGGGGGCCATGCTCTACTACGAGAAGCTCCGCAAGGAGCTGCGTGAAATGCTACAGCGTAAACGCGTTCTCGATAAGAATCTTGTACGCCCCTCCAGAGCTCGACTTTTGAAAGTACTCTTGGCGGGCTAACGAGCAATGCAGGCACAGTACGAGGAGAACATCGCGAAATGCGAGATCGCCTACCTCGAGGATACACAGAATGGCAACATCGTCAAGGGTTTCGACAACTACATCAAGGGTACCGCCGCCCGGCGGAGGACCAATATCAGTGATGCGGACCGCATATTCTCATTGTCGTCGTATTCATATGCTGCAAAGGTACGATTGTTCTATAGTATTCGCCACCTGCCTCCTGGGGAGTGGTTACGACTGACAGTGGTGGAAAATGTAGCTTCAACAGCAAGAAGACGCGACCCCAGCGACTAGCACTTCAACGCCGACGGTAGCCGAGAACTTGCCCAGGCTGAGTACCCAGAGCCGGAATAAGAAGAAGCGGAGAAAGGGAGAAGATGAGTCGGAGAGCCCGTCGGAGGTCGAGACACCGGGGCACAAGAGGGTGCGCATCTCGTTTTCGGGACAGGGACAGGCGTAGGATTTGGGTCGTAGCAGATCCTTATTTTTTTTTCTCATTTTTTTTTCTTTCATGGTAAGCCCTCTATATCATTGTCATTGTTTGGTGGCGTTTTGGGAGGTATGTTTGTTTTATTGCTTTGCATTTTTCTCTCTACTTTAGATAGCTGGTGAGATTTGAGGCTAGTGTAGAGAATTGGTGGTGGGGGATAATCGTTTTTTAGTTGATGACAATTGATGGTAATGATGGTTTGAGGATACATGTGCGGTGTATATATATATGCACTGCAAGCATTCGTCTGATAAAGATACAGGTTCTCGGTCTATACGGCTGTGTAGGGTGGCTTTCTATGGGCCGGGACGCTCAGTGCAAGAGTAAAGAAGAGCTATTTGAGTAACGCCAAGGGATAGTTCATTGCTATGGAACATCTCACTGGCAAATGATACGAACATAGCAGCCCCCCCAAAATGTCAAATGTTCAGTTTGAGATGCACTCCGAGAAGTACTTTGATCGACCTATAAGCCCTACATGTAGTTCGAAGTCACGACCAAGCTGGCGGGGATATTTTCTTTCGCTTGGGTAGGCGTTGTTGAATTATTTCATTCATTCCCCTTCGTCCGCTCTTCTCTAGTCCCTAGTTTCCGCAATCAGGGAGCGCAAACACCTCTTGCTTCTTGGTTTCTCGCCGAGGACCGAGAGGAGTTTGTATTTGCCAGTACCATGATGTACCCTATGAGTCTGTTCAAGACAAGCCCATGGTATAGACCCACCTTATCTCGCCTTATGGGGACCTTGGGCTCATTACATTATATTTTACATGTTATAGCTTATGATATATAAAATTATACGAATATTTTCTTGAGTGACAATCTAGGGTTTGAGTGAATGATTTTCTTGCCTATTAGACTCTATGAAATTGGGCCGTCACTGTGAGTCTCAAAGACTAGTATCATCTAATGAAGAGATTGGAGAAACAGATCTGTCTATACTTGTATATAAAGTAAAGAAAAAATCAATTTAATTTTCTCATCAAATCTAGATTCAAGTTAGAAAGTGCCTGGCCAAGTATTGAATGGTTTTTTAGAGTTAGTAATGTGATACAAATCTTTGAAAATCTTGAGATAGGATTGAGCTAGAGAGAGAATGGTCATGAGCTAGCTTCTCCTATGAGAGCTCCATTCTATTGGATTCAAACCTGATATCTTGAGACTGAAATATGAGCCAGCTTTGGTCATAGTGTTTCGAGTACATGGGGGTAATAATAAAGATATATTTAGGGAGCATCGCAGTTCAAAATTCTGTTACAATGTGTAGAAAATAACCTTACTCGTGAAATTTACTTGCAAGTCCTTCAACCCTATATTCGTGTCTATATAATTATATTACGTAACCAAATGTATGTTATCATATGCATGCGCGCGCAGTGACCGTGATCAGTTAATCATATATTCGGAAAAAGCAATATGGCCTGCCTCAATGTTAAACTCCTAAGACCTCAAGGGTATATAAGAACAAGAACTAATTAGGACGAGACGTCTCGAGGATATCTTCAATCTAACCTCGAGCACCATACAGGCTTGGATTTGTGTCAAGATGTGGTTTGCCATCATATAATATCACTCGGGTTTCAAGAGAATCCCCACTCCACATACTACTACTGTATTCTGGGGTGAGAACTTTAGGGATTTTTTGATAAAAATAACTGGCTGGCGAGCTACGGCAAGGAGCCAAAGGTGATAGGGAAAACAATGATAGTGCGTGTGGGTACATACATGTAATTAGGGAAAACAGCTAGTAAGCTTCCTTCCATACTTCCTTCGCATAACGCCAATGAAAACTATCCAACATGCTTCCCCCATCAATATCATAAATACTTCACCAACACTGGTCTGGGCGTTATCACCACGTTTTCCTGGCGTGACCTGTGGGGCCCTGGCTTCGGTCTCTAAAACTGGCTACCAAGTTACGAACCATATATATGTCACCGTAAGTTTTATCATGAAAGATCCAAAGACCGCCTTTCACTCCTTTGATTTAAAGGGCAGTGACAGTATACTGCCCTTGAGGTGCAATTTATGCCACCTTCAATACCGCTTTTAGACTAGTCTAAATAAGCAAAGAAGCAACCGCGGTGACTGCCTAGGTCGGGTCAATGATCGCTCAGACAGGAAAAGCCACCTGTAGTAACACCACTGCTGCGACTAAGCTGAGGGTAGACAGAGGAAAACATAGGTTCGTAACATCATCCGAGTGACTATCCGGCACCGGGGAGGATGTATTGCGCATAGGGCTTGGGTACAAGACTAGTGGCAGTCTTACTCTACGCGATCTCTCTTGTTATCTTATCAGTCAATCTAGATATTCATGGAAGCAGGACGAGATGATTGCATTCATTCTCATTACGATCATCACACTAATTCGCTGGATGGCTCAAAATATTCACTACTAGTACAAGTAATGGGTTTCATAACCTAAGCATCATACAATGCCTTAGTCCAATCCCACTTCTCCCATGCCTCTCTAAACACCTTCACTCTTGCTCCCTCCCCACCCCTCTTCCACCGTCCCTGCCTCTTCACAACCTCCATTCCCACATCCAACATACCTCCCAGAACCTCTCTCGCAAACAGGTCGCCCTTCGGCCACCGGTTTTCATCCTCAATGATGTGGCCGAGCCCACCATCAATCTCTAGCCACACATGGAAGTACGGCATCTGCTTGACAAAGCTGCGGCGGAATGCCTGCTTACCAAGCCCTTCTTTACGAGCTCGCGAGAGCGTGTCAATGAGCTTTTTGTGCTGCGACCATTCCTCATCTGCGGACATGATGGCTTCCTTGAAGTACGCAGCAGCGGTCTCGCCGAGCTCGATTGGCAGCGGGACGGCGGTGATGGCAGCATGGCGCTTGCGTTGTGGGGAGGCAGCGTTCTCGTAGAAGATTACGGAGCGGTTTTGGGAGCGATACATGCGGGTTAAGCTTTTCATGAAGTTCTGCAGGATTTTACTAGATTAGCTGTGGTACTTCTCCAAGTGAATAGATAACTGAAAAATAGTGCCATACCCGAACCTCTTCCCACTCGTCGTCATCACACTCCATCATGTTGACCCTATGCTGGATCGGAACAATGACGGCGCCCCCAGCGCTCAATTCTGGCTCCGTCGGTATGGTCAAGAATACCCTAGTACCCGTCGCTACAACCGGTGCGATTGGTGGCTTGTCGTCCTGCTCGCACAGCGGACATGTGTTGAGGACCTGCTGCATGCGCTTAAACTCGTTGATAGCCATGTTTTTCAAGTCGAGCTCGCTGCGTTGCACGTGTTTAGCTAACTTAGTCGCATTCTCGTCAAGATAGTCGAGATTGTCCTGTTTCTGTTAGTAGGGGTTCCATGAAAAGGCTCCTCGAAAAGTAGGTAGGAACTTACATCGAACTTTGCATCCCTGGAGATGCGCTCAGCGAGGAGCATGCCCTCACCACCGGCGACGGCTCCGCGTGTCCGCTTCTCCTCACGCACCATATCGTCAAGTGTCATCTCATCGTTCGCCTCAATTTTGCCCTTTTTGCCTGCAACAACTTCACGCCCCATGCGCCCTTCCAGGCCAGCAAGGTGGCGGGAGTCCATAGCTGTAATCACTACCTGCTGCGACGAGTTGGCGCTCAGATTTTTCCTTGCCTCTGCGGTCGCTGCAACAGCATCGTTGTACTCCCGTTCCATATCGGCAGCCTTCGGATCGCCCTTAATTTGCGCCTTCAAGTATGCCGCCTTCATCCGATTGAGCGCTGTCTGATCCAAAATCTTGACCGGGGGTGCTATTGTCTCTAAAACTTGTAGCTTGGGAAGTCCATAGTCTGCCTGATACCGCTCCTCCTTTGCCCTTCGTTCCATGTCATCATCTGCCGTTTTCTTGAGCCGTTCTGCGTATAGCTCTCCCGTTGGCCTTGTCTTTGTGCCCCTCCGATCTGTCCCGTACATGTCTCTTCTCCCCAGCTCCATCTCTTCCTCTCTTGCCTCATCAAACGTTTTCAAATCGCCATATCTCTCTATCGCAATTTCGTCAAGGGACTTACCATCCTCGGCCGCAGCCTCGTAGACGCGTTTGAGCCTTGTCATGCGCCATTTTGAACCGGAGTCGCCGAAGGTATAGGGTGGCTCGTCGTTGGCGTCAGCGGCGTATTCGTCGACGGATTTTCCCGCAATAAGCTGCTGGTTAAGCTCGTTCTTGTGGATAATGGGACGGTAGTCGGGCTTTGTGAGGGTCTTTGGTGGTGTGGCTTTACGCGCACCTCTTTGCGTGTAATCAATGAAGTCGGCGTCGGGCTCGGTCATCCAAGTATCCCGCTTTAGAGTAGGCTCGGGGTTTGTAGCTGGAGTCGGGCCGGCAGCTTCCGTAGAGGCTGCAGGCGCTTCTACCCATTCACCGGCATCTTCATCGTCACTTTTGTCTGTAGGCGTGGGGGCGGCTTTCCTATCTTCGCCGTCTTCTTTCCGTGACTTCCGGTGCCGTCGTCGATCATCATCGTGGGAGCTATCGTGACGGGAGCGCTTCTTGCGATGGTGGCGGTCGGAGTCTCGGTCTCGGTCTCGGTCTCGGTCTCGGTCGCCTCTGCTCTCGTCCTTGTCTTTGCCTGAGGACCTGTGGTGCCGGTCCCTGTCCCTGCCCTCGTGTTGGTGGTGGTGGCCGCTACGGTGATGCCGGTGAGATCTCTCTCTGTCTCGCGACCTATCCCTATCTCTCCGACTCTCCTTCTCTCGTTCTACTGGCGCCGGCGGCTTTTCCCTGCTCTCTGATGCCATTAATTGTGCTTTTCTGTGGTTGTTGATGTTCGTGTTGAGATAGGGGATATCGACGTTGGTGTTTAGGGATGACGTGCATACAAGGATAGGTTGCTGTTAAGAGACAGGACAGAAAAACCAGGACAGCTGCAGGGCTACATTCCAATCGCCTTCCCCGGATTGTTACCAACTTCAATTGGGTCCAGGTAGAGTATTTGATTGTTTAGGCGAGCATTCCTCATGTTCAT